TCCTCATGTTTGAATTTTTTAGCACCACAGGTCACGACTTCTGACTCGGACTTCGGGAATCACCTCTCGAATCCAGTCACCAATGAGCACTAGATTAATTCACTTTTGAGGTTTGTGTGGATTTATTGATTTCAGGTTAGTATTCATCATAGACTGATATTAATTGGAGGAACATTTTAAACCTGGGTTCGATCCCTGGCGAGGTGAGGTCATGGGTATGCATTGCTGAGGAGTCCAAAATTATGACTAAACAGTTGTCCAGTGCTTCCAGATTTCCAATGTTCCTCCAAATAATTTCAGTCTGTGAGGAATACCAGCCTGAAATCAATAAATCCCTACAAACCTCCAAATCGAAATTACGTTTGCCTAAATCACTGGTAGTTAAGTCCAGTTTACTTTTTGTTTTTATGTAAACGTGACTCCCCACCAATGCGCACCTATGACTCTACCGGAGATAGAACTCAGGACCTTTAGGTTTCACGACGAACGCGTTAAGCACTCAACCACTGGGTCAAAGTTCAATGGCCCACTTCGAGATATACATCTCGAAGAGTGTCCCTGGTGAGCATTTTACAGTAATGTAGTTTCGGATTCATTGGGGTTTTTTATGCTTATTTATGCTTCAAGATAGATATCTTGAAAAGTCGTGATCTGTGGAGTCAACGAATTGAAAGTGAAGCGGATGCCAGCTGAAGACCTTGGGCGATAATTGCGTTACATTAACGAACTGATAGAGGTTGGAAACTGTTGACCATTGAACCCAGACCCAGTAGACGAATGGCTGACCCATTCACCGTGAAACCTGGTGGTCATGAGTTCGATCCCGGACTGGGTCATAGATGCATGCTGTCGAAGAGTCCCATTTTAGGACGAACTAGCTGTCCAGTGCCCCCAGGTTTCCAATGATTCTTCAAATGATGTCGTTCCGTGATGAATACTGCCTTAAAAATGAAATCCTTATAAACTTCACACTGCATTATATGTAAATGTAAGTGTTGTGAATGATTACTGGGGAATGAGTATAAATATGACTAATTCACTGGTTACTTAAGTAAATGACTGAACTGCTAGTTGAACTCGGAAATCGAACACTGATGATTATAATCAATCAGTGAATGTTAAACAACCCTACTGATTGAAATCAAAAAACGGAAATAATAGGCCACTCGTTGTGTATATATGGTCCACTTACACCTCAGACTTAGGATCTAGGACCTAAGTTCACCAAAGACTTAAGATTGTCACTTATATGTAAATATGTGAACAAGGTAAAGTAACTATAATCTTACCTTCAGATAACGAAGGCGATCGAGAATCAAATAAAATTTAGCAGGCAGCTATTAAATTTCCTTTATCTAATAAATCTAAGGCCGACGTTTTATCCACTACAAAAGTTTATAATCTGGAAACTTATAGTAGGTGTTCTGTCACTCATAAAATCGAATCATCCTTCTCATAGGATGCAGTGATAGCTGTTTCCAAGGTGCTAGATCCATGCCGGTAAGTTGAAGATATTTTAGTTGGCAATTCTTTCAGACTGAGTACAAATACTGATGTTTGATAATTGTAATTTCTGATTGCCATACAGAGCCGAATCACTCAACTCTGTTGTCCGAAAGGTTCCTATGAGGATACTTCCACACTGCCGGATATCCATGAGCTTATCTTCAACTTGGTAACTAGCTGTGGAATCCAGGAGGCGCGCCCCGCCCTATTTGGAACTCGTCAGCTGGATGTCCCCAATGTTGTTCCCGCTGAGACTCGAGCTCATGAACAATCTCTTCAAATGCCAAAGCGTCATCAACTGAGCTACTGCAGCTGGAGAGCGACCTCTTTAACACATGTCGAGCCATTCGACCCTGTATAGAGATGGGAAATTACAAGTATCAAACAACAACTTACACCTGTTACACAAGAGGTTGTTGTCATGCCCCGGTGGCCTAAAGGGTAACGCTTTGGAGTTTGAAGAGACCTGTCTTGAGTTTGAGACCCAGTGAAAACAACAATACTAATTAGGGTTCAGGTACATCTATCTGATGACTCCTAGTCAGGACGAAACACGCATTCTAGATCGCACTACTAGTCATCGAGATGAATATAGAATTGCTGCTACTTATTACAGTGTTACATTCATTCAGTTGGACACTATAAAGGTGCTGAAATCTGGTAAAGAAGTAGGACCGGATGGAATTCCTCCAGAAGCACTAAAAATGATTCAGAGAAAACAGCAAACATGTTCACACCACTTTCATTGCAGAAGGTTTGCAAGGAAGGAAGGAAATGTAACTGCCGAGAGTGATTGGAAGAAGGGCTGCCTTCTCAAACTCCCAAAGAAGGGAGACCTAAGTGTTTGCAAGAACTGGCACGGAATTATACCCCACTCCTGTCCACCCAGAGCAAGCAAAATATTAAGCCGCATCATCCTGGAGAGACTAAAGGATGCTCTACATTCAGAATTGCAACCGAAACTGGCTGGCTAGCTGGCAACGAACCAACCAGCAACCCATCACCCAACAATTATGCAGAAGAAGAAAGTGGAGATAGAGTGGATTGGATTAGACATACACTGAGAAGACCGTTTGGGGAAATCCTGCCACAGTCCAGGCTAGGCCAAACCATCGAGTGGAATTCAAAGGGGAAATGACGAATTGTACGTCCAAGGCGAGGATGATATGGAGGAGATGGTGTGAGGAAGAACTGAAAGATAATGGTCAGTGGTGAAGTCAGGTTGAGAAGAATGGAGAGAAGAGAGTGAAACAGCTATGTACTACTGAAGTCCTATGTTCCACTAGGAACCTTGGGAACAAATAGTACTAATTTATCCCTTGTTCATGGTGTATTGACTTCACAAGTTTGTGTGCCATACAAAAGCATCATCCAGTCAGACTGAGGTACAGAAATTCGAAAGAAATCGTTATATCCAAATTAGACTAATAGCTATTGAAAACATTTGTTTCCCGATACAAATTTAAAACAAAAGCAACAAGTGTGAAAAAAGCAGGTATAATGAATTCATAAATTTCAGTAGTACTCGTCAGCTGGATACTCTACATACTTGATTATATATACCGTTAAGCAATGGAAAACAGCATACATACATGTACAACGTAGACTGAGACAAATTTAGGTGTAACAACATAGAAGTGAATATAGAAATAGTATTCATCATGGACTGACATCAGTTGGGGAACCACTGAAAGTCTGGGAGCACTGGACAACTGTTTCGTCCTAGTGTGGGACTCCTCAGCAGTCGGAAGTGAAGCGGATACTAACTGAAGACCTTGGGTGACAGTCGCGCTATGTCGTGAACTGACAGAAGTTGGAAATTGTAAACCACTGGAAACCGACCCAGTGGCTGAATGGTTAACGAGTTCGCCGTGAAACCTGAAGGTCCTGCGTTAGACCCCTAGCCGGGTCGTGGGTGTGTACTACTGAGGAGTCCCATACTAGGACGAAACAGCTGTCCAGTGTTCCCAGATTTTCAGTGGTTCCTCAACTGATGTCAGTCCATGATGAATACTACTTCTAAATAGAAGTGAATAGTTTTTACAGGTCAACTGGATATTCAAGATTGTTGACATAAGGGTGAGAACTGAATCGATTGAGCGTCGATCACGTCACTGAAAACAAGATAGTTAATAGTACTTATGCAGACAATAAGAAAACAAGGTATATATATTGAGATGAATAATAATGATAACATTGGTAATAGGAATAAGGTTAATTAGATGAAACAAATCAGGGAAGGAAAACAAAATATGAGATGAGTGATAATTAGTAGTGAAGATTAAAATAAGAAAGATTGAATATGATTAGACATTGTTGTAATTATTACCATGTCAGATTCAGGCTGACTACCATTTCCTTCTGAATGCAGAGGTTTTGTTTGACAACTCGAATTGTACAGGCTTCTACATATCCAAGCAACTTATTATTTTGCTGTCTACTGATAACTTTAAAGGACTTACAGGTATCAATATCATGTCCATAGTCCATTAGGTGCTTCGTTATCGAGCTCCTCGGTGTCTTCTTTTCGGTATGCTTCAACCACTTCGGTATGTGCTCAACCAATCGGGTGGACAGACGCCTCTCTGTATGGCCAATGTACTTGCTTCCGCAGGTACATTCGAATTGATATATACATTTAGATGTGTTGAGGATCGGGGTACTGTCTTTCCTTGATTGCTGCAATACCTTTTTGGTGGTGCTGAGAAGAACCAGTTTAGCTGCATAGTAAGTCCTTCTGATAGACTTCTCCAGTCTTCGTCTAATAGTTATGTAGTGTTTTTTTCTTTTGAGTATTTCACTATGACCGCATAGATCTATGCATCATTAAGCTGGGTGACTTCATTTGTTGACGAGTTTAGCTTAATATTATTATTCATATAAAATAATTGTCCATATAAATCTGTATAACTTCAATTTAATAATGGTGTAAAACAATACCCTGTTTATGCATTGATTTATTCAAAACGGAAATGTACTACTAACAAATGTGCGAATAAACAAACAAACAACCAACCAACCATGTATCGAATTGAGCTAATTAACATGTTTAAGCGAGTGAGATGCTAATGTTTACAACCTTGGCGCTTATAAATCCATGAAAACTTGTGTAAAGTCTCTATCTCTTGGTTCACAACATACACACAAATTCAGTCAGATTTATTTACACTCGATCTCTCAATAATTGTACATCCCTTCAGTCTCTCTACTTATCTATCCATTTGTCTAGTTATAACAAATACACTCTTAGTAATGGTATATAATTAATATATATATGATGGTAAGTAGGTTATCAGTTATAATTGAAGTAGGGTATATTTTGCACGCTATATACATTGGAATTATATACTGGCCATCAGTCTTTGACAGACTGAACTGATGAAAGAAGATACATTCACTTTACAAGAAAGATAACTATTGGTTATTCAGCTCTGCAATTAAAAAAGAAGCCGTCCAGTTCATTGAATTACTTCGTCATTGCATTTCATTGTATTATGAAGCTATTAACCTCAATAAATCGGTATTTATTACTGTGGCAAGTAGTATATTACCTCCAGATATTAACATGTAAGTAGAGGAAGCATTAATATCTATATGTACTAGGTGATGACTGAAGGTGAGGTGAAAACGTGGACTGCGGCCGGGTTCGAACCAGCAACCACTGGCTTACCAGCTGCAGCCCACGTTTTCATCTCACTTTCAGTCATCACCCAGTATGAATACTAGTCTGCCGAATTACGACTATCTCAGTCAAATGATAATTTTTATTTTTGTTTTGTGATAAAGGTAACGGACTTATGGATCTACAGACAGTATATGTTCCAGAGGTAAGCAGTATATAACTTATAAAATACATAAATTTACTCAACTTATTCACACTTAAAAAGGTAAAAAGGAAACGGAATTTATTTTAGTGTTTCGAGATGGTCATAAGGATGGCTTGAAGTTAGATATTGTTCTTACCAGAGAATATAATTGGGGTACCAAACACGCACCTTGTCCCCCTCATAATAAGTGCAACCGTGTATAAGAAAACATTCCATCCACTATCATGGTCACAGAAATTACTTTTGAGTTCTTTGTGCAGATTTATGTGTATAGACTAGTAGCTAGATTGTATTGTTTTCTTGATGCTACAGCTTGTAAGTCTTCATTGCTGGTTGGATGGAATAGATCGGCCGCTAATGGTATATGGGCTCCTGTGCGGACATCTTGATACTGTTGATATTTTCAGTTTTGATATTAATGATGAGTAGGGGTTAGTAGGGGAATTCTGAAAGCGTGTTTCGTCCTATTTGGGACCTGTCAGCTGGATGTACTTGCCTCCCAGTGAGCGATATTGCTCCCTCTAAGATTCGAACCCAGGACAGGTTTGTTCAAACTCAGAATTGTCATTCACTAGGCTCCCAAGTCACGATAGCTGCTTCTTGTGTGTCAGGTATAAATTTTATGTTGTTGTTTGTAATTTCCCTACGCTGATTTGTCCTGGGTTGGAGTCTCAGTGAGAATAACGTCATTCGCCATGAGGCACGCACATCCAGCTGACGAGTTTTAAATAGGACGAAACGTGCCTCCTGGATCCTACTGCTAGCCACCATCCATCATTAATATTTGTTTAACTCTTACTGTTGTCATAAGCTTTCTAGCTGAGAAGTACAACTAGGCCAGTTGACTAATCTACACAACTTTACGTTCAGCTATGCAATTCCACATGGCAGTGTCTCTTACTGTTGCAGATACTTATAAGTAATTTAACTCGCAAATGAGGTATGCAGATCAACAAGTTCTAACCGATAACCGTCAGAGGTCTAACTAGTCCTAATGCTCTAGGATGTCACTTTCTTTAACTTAATGTCCATACGGTACAAACTGAATATTGAACTTTAATAGGAAAAGATAAAAGAGGTGGGACGGTTAAAAACCTAATGGACAATATCGATATATTTTATTTATTCAGTTGATAATGGTTCAGTTTAAAAAAATATAACAATGTTTCCGGGTGACAGATTTTTATTGAAAAACAAGTATCTCAGCTACTGCCAGTCTACTAAACATGACAACCTTATACAGTCTTGATAAGGATGATTATATGACATTACCATCTCCCCCTGATAACCTTAGTTTCACTAGACTCAGATGAAAACGCGAAGAACTGGATGGACAGTTAGTGGAATAATGGTAAATGAACAGTTATGTATAATTTATTCACATGATAAACAGGTGGAAGACTTTGTGCTGGAATCAGCAGAAAAACTTGGTTAGCAAATGTATTTCATAGTTTAGGTAGTAGTGCTTCGGGTCAGTAGGCATAAGGTTGATGCAGTTTATCAGCTTCACTTATAATCCCCAAATACAACGAGTAGTCTGCCTATCGAGGTTATCTCAGCTGGTTTATTCAGCAACAAATTAATGGTTGAATGAACAGTCTAGCTCCACCTATCCTAATGTCTTTTTCCATCATGATGTTACCTACACTAAGGTGGTAGGGATGATTTAAAGCTTATGATTCCTTGTGACTTGTGACTTGGTGACCTAGTGGATAGCACTCTGGCTTTTGAAGTAATCGACCCCCCCCCCCATGTGAGTCTTAGTGGAAGTCTCACTCAGAGGCGGGTACGTCAGCTGACAAGCCCCAAATAAGACGAAACATGTATCCTGAATTCCAGTGCTGGACACTATCCATCATTAATATTGTTTATCTTAATTTATGAGTGTACAAGTTTTTTGTCAACTCTTACACGTGATTAATTATTAAGTTTACCTTACTGAAGTGACTAGATTCACCAAAGTGTGATTTTCTCAGTCAAATATTCCTTTATCATGTAAGACATTATGTCCACACTTGGATTGTATCAAGTACAGTTGATTGATGGAACATCACATACATACGTTTTTAAAAACATATTTTAAGTGTGTAACATGTAGTTTGTCTATGACGAAGCTAAAAGGACGTACACTATTTCTGTTAAATATATTCAATTTTCAATAGGTTGATAGTCACACTTTCGTCAACATCATCCTAGCGAATTATTGGAGTCGTATATTACTGCAAAAATACTGTCATAGAAAGTTGGTTTGTAAGTGCAAATCATGGAATGCTTTTACATGACGGATACTTAGTAGCCTCAGTTTTCAATTTTGGTAGCCAATACTTACTGGTACAATCCAGAATAATAATTATTAACCCAACAGATGAATTTTATATCTCAGTACGACAATTTAAGTTTATTTGTGGTTATGTATGTGATAACATGTCGTTAACCTACAGTGGAAACAAAGCGATATGTCTATCATGGGCATTGTCAGTTTATCATCATCTTGTTTAACGACCAATTTTCTGTTATCCATGACGCTACTTATATATATATATATATATATATATATATATATATATATATATATATATATATATATAACTCAGAACAACAACTCTGATGTTTGCATAACTCTGATGGTGCTACAAACCCCAAAGGGATACTGTTTTCACAGAACAGACTTTACAGTCAACCATCAACTATAAATAGCTTGAAAACAAAACTGTTATAGTAAGCTTAATGAAAGATAAAGGGTACTGAAGCAGTTACGTTACAGAAGTCACTGATTCCATCTAAAATAGACACTGATCAAAAGATTTTAGTTACGTAAAAGATAACGGCTCTATAATATATTTCGAGTGTTTTCGCTGGATGATAATACAGATTATGCTGAAAATTTGAAGGTATCAGTTTTACTGACGTTCGTTAATTTATCTGCTGTATGCTCTACCGAATGCGGGCTCTGAAATGATCACTTTAGAATTGTGATGAATCTCTTTTAGGATATGCTGAAAGTCAAGTTATTATATTACTATGAGTACTATGAAATACACCCTTTTAAAACAAGACATAACGAACTAGATTACCTGTAGTCTACTTGGTGGCTAGCAGTGGCACCAAGGATGCGCTTTTTGTTCTATTCGGAACTCATCAGCTGGATGTGCCTGCACTCTAGTTAGTGATTTTGTTCCCACTGAGATTTGAACATAGGAGAAATCCCTTCAAATGCTAAACGATTATCCATTAGTCAGTAGCAAGTCGTTCGGATAGCATCCCACCTCTTAACAGACGTCAAGCACTTCGACTACATAAAGCAACGGGAAACTAAAATTATCAATCAACAATATGTTACCTGTATTTAAGCTGTCTAAGCCAATGGACTGGATTATCGACTGGAGGATTCTAAATAAAAGTGGAACCACAATTAGGTTACCTTAGGACTCAAGCCAGGGATAATCAACTGAGTCTACTGTCAGTTGGAAAACTAGACTGAAAAGGTAATCAAGTCTCATTCTTACTTCGATTCTACGGTGTTTCATTTAGATGTAATAAGAATTCGAAGAATGAGAACCTTCTTATATCATCAACATACATTCTAATCCAATTAAAGACTGAACAAAATGATATAATTTTACATTATTCTGCATACTATCTGTTTACAAGGAACAGAAGTTTTGTTATTGCAAGTTGACTTATCAGTAATAAAGTTGGAGCTAATAAAAGTTAGTGATATTTATGAGTAAAAAATATTCAGCTAGTTGGATTTGTTATCTTAGATGTTATGCTTTGGTAGTCTCTTTCATTAGATCAACTAGCAAAGCAACACGTTGAAATTTTTCTAGTTCTTTTATCGTAACTGGTAACCCTGCCGATAAAATCAAAAGTTCTCTTATTTCAAAAGAACCAGTGTATAAATTATTTCATTATACTCCACTTTCTAACATGAATAGCTCTAGATAATGTTGGTGAATACGTATGCTTCATTTTATAAGTTAAGTGTGAAATTGCTTTGCTTTTTCCTCTGCGTTTTCATAACTATTACCTAGGCTCCTGCTTAACGCATTCTGAGTTACTAACCATCCTTCAATTCTTATGATAGTAATGATGGATAGTGGCTAGCAGTGGGATCCAGGATGCGCATTTCGTCCTATTTGGGACTTGGCTTTTTATCTCATTTCTACTCCGTACTGTAGGTAGCAGGTGAACTGTTGAAGTATGTAAACACTGTAAAGAGGTTACGCCTCTATCCTTCCTAGCTATAAGATCTAACTTTTTGAAAGTTTAAACTAACAAGACAATTCTAATGAGTAAACTTCGTTTTACTGTCATTGTCTTTGAAAATGTGGTTCTCTAACATTCATGCAGTGAGTGAAACCAGCTTATTGGCATAAAAAGTCAACTCACGAAGTTCAAAGTCCTACAGATGCTTATTTTAACTCATTCTCCTATTGGGTTAAGATTTGTATGAATCAAACTTCGGGATACGACAGGAAAACTTTATTTCCAGTTTTTGTTTTCTCTAATTTTTCATTATAAGCCGAAGTCAAACTGAAAAGAAAATGTACCTTATTTAACATGCTAATATCATTGGATATTCTAGGGTGTGAAGTCCTTTCATCATATCTTTTTAAAGATATCAAACCAGTTTTTCATAATTAACATTCAACCAATATCCAGACATCCGCATACCACCACATATACCAATAGAAGTCGAACAATTCGATCCAACAAAACAACGGAGAATAACAAGTATCTCAATAAATAGTAATAACTATCATCCGTTGTACAAGAAGTGGCTATCGTTCCTCTGTGACAAAGTGGATGACGCCATGACGGTTGAAGCGATGGGTGAGAGGTTCGAGTCTCAGTGGGAACAACATTACCTACTGGGATGCAGTTACATCGAGGTGACGAGTCGCAAATAGGACGAGACGCACGTACTGAATTCTTCTGCTAACCACAACCAACCAAATTATCATAATATCAAAATGACCTAATTTCCTCAAATAGAA